GTCTTTGAAGTAAAAAAAAAGTATTTAAATACAGACATAAAATGTTTTCCTACTTTATGTTTCCCAGTTAACTAACTCCTGGTCAGTACTCTCATTGGAGAAGGGGACTTCATAGTAAATACTGATGCAATCATTTGATCAACATTCATTCATCTCCCTTACTTGATTGTGAGTTCTATCTGAAGGGCATATGTGTTTGTTTCAACACTGTAGTTCTAGTCCTCAGAGTTGGCACCCAGCAGATAATCAGTAAGACTATATAATAGGTAAGATATATAATAAATGAAAGATGATGCCCCTTTATTTTGTTCCATGTAGACATAGTAGATGGTGTTGTCAAATATTTCAGTATACCTTTCTGAAGGAGACTCAAATCACGAAAGACAGAGAGCCTCAAAATTCTTCTGAGCAGTGTTAATCTCAGCTCTGTAGAAAACTGCTCAGTATGAGGACAGCAGTATTTTTTCTTCCTCACTGGAATGTCGCTGTCCTGCTTTACCTGAACAAACCTCCCTCCACAGGTGCAGGGCTGCACCAGGCAACCAAGGAAATGCCTCTCACTCTTCTCTCCTCTCTCCCTGCTGTGAGAAGTCTACCCCCTCCATGATACAGCCTGAGTGAACATAACAGATGGGTTTCATTCATAAAAAAGAAAACCTGATCCCTCTTCATATCCATTTTGAGCCTCTATGGGTAAAACAAAACTTTTCCTGAGGAAATTATGCAAATGCACTCAAATATTCTTAAAAGATCCTACATAGCAGAAAATATTTCTGTGAACTAAACCATATTTCTTTTCATTCACTGTAAAAAAAGAAATATGAATGAAGTAGTGGGAAATATGAATAGAAATTTAGAAATACTTTTCGATTCCTGCTTCATTATGATCTCCCACCCTAAGCTTCACTTTCCTTGCCTATAAAATGGGATTGATAAAGATATACATCCTACATACCTTACAGAGTTATTATGAGGGATCCAATTAAGTAATATTTATAAAACCCTTGAGATACTGCAAAGGATGATAATGGAAGCGTGTGCCACTGGTACTACAAGGTCTTCCATGCCATGTTTTCTCAACTGCTGCACTCTTGCTCTTCTTGTTTGTTCCAGGCAGGCTGCACACAATTCATTTCCTTAGGCACAGACACAAGCAATCTTCTGTTATGACACATGAAAGGAGGTTAGAGGCTACTGATTTTGGAGTAGACAACAATAGCCTTGCTCCAACAAACCTTTTGGGGAAGTCCACAGGATACTAAACCCCCATCCTGTCTAGTCTTTTTAAGATATAGAGGCGTGAGTCAAAGCCCCTGTGAAAACTGTAATTTCAGTGTGGGTTTAAACTGTAACAGCTTTGGTATCCATCTGTAAAATGTCATTTCTGCTGGTTCCATCTTAGTAGCTCAAACAATAGGAAAAAAATCACATGCCCACCTCCCTCAATAAAATGTAAAACTCTACAGTTTCCCTATAATGTATGGGCACTCAAGCTATACTAATTTATGATACAGTTACTTTCATTTTTTAGCATTTTTATTTGGCTCTTATGCTACATAATTAATGGTGTTTACATGGAAAGGTTGTTTAACTAATGTAAATGGCATAAGTGGATTACTGAGCAAGCCTTAAAACAAATAAACATTTTTCTCCTTTGAAAATATTTTTTCAGTGTCCTTTAAATGTCTGGCACAAGAGCAATTTTTAAAATGTCAAAAGAGATACAGAATTTAGGTTTCTGAGGTCCATTCTTCTTGGGGAACAGGCTTATAATTTTGTATCCTATAGCGATTGGCTTGGGGGAGTCAACAGTGACCCTGGTGGCCCAACAACCCCAAACTCAGAGGCATGTCTTTCTTTGGAAGGGTGCCAGTTTTCCTCTACAACCTTAAACATAACACAGTATCTGGGCTTTACAGATCATTTCCTGCAGAGTTTTCAGGAGTGAGGATGAGAGACTCATGAAATAAACCAATGTGTTACTATAAAGACCAGAAAAGCAACAGGGGAGGAAACCCATCTAATTTCCAAATACTTCTACCATCACAATTACATCACCCAGTCGTGGCAATTACTGGGATTGCCCCACCTAATGAAAGTGTGTATCACACATTCTTTGAATGGCAGCACAAAGCTGGGTTACTATAAAATAGAGCTGGCATAGCAGTCACTACCTGCCAAGATGTATTATTTTTCTAAAGCATTTGGAAAAAAAGCTTTGACACCAAAGGCCATTTCTTTACTCCAGCTTTCCCAGAGGCAAAGAGCCAAGGCAGCAAGAATGAAGATGCCTCCCCTTACATCCACATACCCAGCCTTTAGGAGGCATTAAGAGGAAAGCCTCAGCTTCAAGTCATCTCTGTAAGAACAGATAATGTGTCCTCAAAAGCACCCTTGAGTTATCTCAGGAGTTGCAGACCGGACTGTCTGAGCAGACATTCTGTAGAGTAGGGTCTGGCCTCAGGGCTGACTGCTAAGCAGATAGGTTATTGAGATCTATGAAAACAACTCAATCCAAGTGAGTTCTGAACAGCCCAGAACACTGAGATCCCCGCTCCAGTCTTATCCAGATTCCCGGAGGGTAGTCTAAAACTGGAGTCCAGACTTAGAGGACAAAATGCAGGTCAAATGCACATGAGAAGCATGTTGTAAACTGCACAAGACTCCATGCTACCTTAAGACCTCCACTTTCACTTTCCTATCACCTGAAATATATTAAAAGCTATGTAATCATACATTTAATGATCTATCTCTAAAAGAATTTTTATAATTTTACTTTTGAAATTATTTGGCTAAATTAACTAATTTAAAAATGCTAAGATTTCTCAATATTCCTTATATACATTTAAGAACTCTCACTTGGAGAGGACATGTCATCTAAAAACTGTTTTCAAATGCAATGAAGTTGTTATGAATGCTAAAACCAGGTATTAAAGAAGTTGACACAATGTTCTATTCATGACCATTGAATGAATGCTTATTAAATCTGCTTGGGCTGCTCATTTTGAGGTTTTTTTGGAGAAGATAATCATTTTTCCTGGTCAGATTCCAGACATTTTCAAAGACAAACCTCTGGTCCCAAGCACTGGGAGCCCTGAACCTAGACGCCAAACTAGTCTTCTGTGATAAAGGCCCTCATCCAGATACTCCCAAGGGACAGGGCATCCTCTGGTGTGGTTATCAGGAACTCCCAGTTACTCTGTGGAACTTTCATCCTCAACTGAAAGAATAACATGGAGGTTCCCGGAAATGTACCATCACTTAAAAAGCTAAGAATTTCTTTCTAATTCAAATCATCAAAATAGACAACTCAGAGAAATTTATCAATAATCAACAGTAAAAACCCTTTGCTGTTGGTCTTTGGTGAAGCCAATCTTTTCCTTCAGTTTGTGAAATAATGTTTCTAAGTCCAATGTACTTTATAAAGTTTCATTTTCCAATGAGAAATGGGATTTGAAAGGTTCTCTGGAGTTACATTTCTGGGAAGTTTTTCTATTGCTCCACAAAGTGTAAGTTATGCATGCTTTTCCAGGGTGTTTATAACTACACCTAAGATTATTTCTTTAAAGACATTCTACCAGCAACTGTTAAGTGAAATGACTTTTTCCCCCTAGAAATATTAGGTCTTTTTTGAGTGTATTAACTAAAAATAACCATAGGTAACCTGCTTACAGTCACAAAAGTCCCCTTTTTAAGCTACCAGCAAGTGCTGATTGATAAAACTATAAACTTGAAAATTCGACTTCCTAAATGTGTTCTCTAGAAATATCACATAATTACACGGTTTGTATAGGGATTCATTCCTGACTTTGGCTTGCTTTATATCTTGCTTGGATACACACTGAGTATATAGTGGCAGGCCCATAGGATGGAATTCCAGCACTGCCATTTTGCAGTTACGAGAATTTGGGCAAGTTCTTAAGCTTTCATTTTTTTCAGCTGCTAAATGGTATTAATAATACCTAATAGGATTATTCTCAGGATTAAACAAGTTAATGCATGTAAAGCTTTGAGCAATCAATAAATATTAGTTTTGAGTATTATTATAATTATCATCCATCATTTTCTTACTTTTGACAGTACGAACATTTAAATCTCCACGTCTGGAACCTGGACTACTTGCTTACCTCCTGATTTTCCTTCTTATTCCACTGTTACCCGTTCTAAACCCTTCTCATCTCCTTCCCAAAGCTGAGGGACCCTTTCAAAACGGAAGTGACCAGCTCAACCCTCTTCCCACATAGGGACAGAAAGAGTAAGACAGAAGGAGGGACAGAAAGTGGCCAGCTGCCCTTCGCACGAATCTGAAAGGCTGTGCCTGGCCGCCTGGCCTGGCTCATGCTTACCTTCTCTTCAAGCCTTCTATGCTGCAGCCACATTGATAGGTCTTGGAGCTCTGCCCTGGTCCCTGATCCTTCACATCCCGGGCCAAAAGCTACCTCTTCAACTAGATCACACTCCTGCTGTATTTTTCATGTCATACTCCTTCCCTTCAAAGAATGCACTTTGATCCAAAAATGCGTGACTTATTTTTTTTTTTTGTGGTTTTTCGGCTTATTCTCCGGTACCAGGAACCGAACTCACGACCTTGCGCTTGCCAGGCAGGCGCTTTTGCCGCTGAGCTAAATCCCCAGTCCCAACACCGCATGACCTATTTAAGGGATAAGTTCCTCATGTCTGCCTTGTCTACCCAATTTTTAAACTTGGAGAGATCATGCCTACCAGGAATAGGACCATCCTATTCCCCACCACTTAGTTTGGCCAGGATCAAGGACAGTAAATGGGCTGTAAATTAATGATTGCATGCAGGGCGGGGTTAAATGGCCTAGACTGCAGTGTCGTCGCAAAGGGGGTTCCCACACCTGACGCTGATTATTAAAATTTGGTTGCACAAAGTGGGATCACTTTTCTAATTTTTCAACAGTCTCCCCCTCCCCGCCCACTCTCTCCTCTCCGTTTTTATTTTTTAAGTTCTCTTTTTCACAATCGGCTTTGTTTTTGTCGTCACTCCGTTTCTCGGCTCAGGAGCCAGCCTGAGCGAGCGGACTTTGAGACTGGGATCTGACTGGAAAGCAGAGGCCCGGGCGGAAGTGCGGGCGGAAGTGCATGCGGGCGGGCGGAAGTGCGGCGGGCGGAAGCGCGGCGCGCGCGGCGAGGCCGATGTGGGTGTCCGCGTTCGCGTGCAGGCGGTGGGCGCGCGCGGCCTGCAGTCGGGCGCGGCGGGAGGCCAGAGAGGGAGGTCCACAGGCTCTCCGCGGTGTCGCGCGCTACCAGTTGCCTTTGTCGTTCGAGGGAATTTAAACCGGGGGCTGTCAATGCCTGAGCCATGGGCAAGGGTTGCGCACGCGCGGTGTGTGTGCGCGCGGCGGGCGCGCGCCCCGGGCGCGGAGTAAGGTGGCGGGAAGGCCGAGGCGGCGTCCAGTGACACGGACGAGCGCCCGCGCCCCGCGAAAGTTCAGGTCCATGGGTCGCAGTGTGATCACACTTGGCGCCGGCGGAGATGACTGCCTTTTACGGTGCACATTTTGAGCAGCTATGTTGACCTTTAGCTGGGGCGGAAAGGCTGAAAGGTGCGGGAAGGAAACCGCGCGCCTGGTTTCCCTGGACCCGGCCGCCGGGACAGTCGCCGTTGCCCTGGGCAGAGGCAGCCCAGGGGCGCCGAACAGTGAGAGGACAGATCAGAGACTGGAGGGTCCCCGAAAAACACTTAGCCTTATCAGTCACCCCTGACGAATACCAGTTCACACAACTTTTTAGTAAGGCTAAGGATAGAAAGGCCCTACGGAATTGTCACCAACATGAATAGGCATGCAGTTGTTTCTAAGCCAACACAAGGTGTTGCCTAGGTGATCTTTATTCTTAATAGATAATGTTAATACAGTACTTTTATGTTAGGCCCTTACATCCACAGTATGGCCCAGCATGAAACAAAGGTTCTCAGTTCTTCAAGGATAGGTGATATGTTACTGTATTATAGCAACACTTACAGCACATTTCCCATAAGCTGGGGCCCTGAGTGATAACCATATCACTGGCATACAGCAGAACTAATGGCTCTATGTGAAATGTTATAGTCTAATAACCTGGATTCTGTTCTACCAAGGAGTTGACTGAAATCAGGAAGGCTCAGTTTTGAAAATTAAGATTTGTGGGATGCTTTAGACAGGCCCAAGATTTTCTTTTTTTTCCTGCTTTTTCCTTTTTTTTTTTTTCCTGCTTTTCCTGGTCCAGTAGTAGCCACTTGCCAAGGAAAGGTGACATTTTCTTTTATACTCCACCAGAGGAATATGTGGTTATATAGTTTTATTTAGATGTACTATTGACAGGTAAGTAATGCAAATGAGGATTTTTCTAACTTGGGAATTTATTGGCTTGTGTTTCTATTGTGTTCCAGTTGCCTGGATCTATCATATTTCTTAAGTACCCAGAGCCATTATGGAGAGATGTCTTCAGAATAAGTTTCTTTCAAAGCTTTTATGTTTTGTTACTTGTAAATACTCTAGCTAACTGATACATTCAGTTACTCTAATCCTAGAGCTTGGGGTTTCAGAAATAGCAAGAGTTTGAGGTGATCTGGTACTAGTAGTAAGGTTTTCTGTGTTCCTTATTTTAAATCCAATTTTTGCTACTGCTTTATTCAAGGAGTATACACCAAAAAGGAGCCAAAATCTAGCTGGAATAGTGCCTGGATGTGATTTTAATTTTGTTTTCAATTATTCTGAAGGAGAGAAGGCATCTGGATCAGGTGTGCATAGTACACAGGTGGTAAAAACTCAGTAAGATTCTATCATCCTTCCCCTTGTATCACATAGCAAGTTCTAGGGACAAAATCAGTTGAGGTAGACCTTTTAAAAATGGAAAAGAGACCTAGGGAAAGAGAAAGAAGAGAGAAAGGGGAAATTAAAAAAAAGATGTGATATGTATACTTATGAACTCCCTACAATGTTTTCATTATGTATCTCAAACATGTGCTAATAAAAAAATCACTTGGGGAAAAATATGCAAAGTGCAAAGTTGTGGTTAGGTTTAGCATAGATATATGATCCTCATCCTTAACTTCCTACACCATTATAAGAGGGATGAGGAAGCATGAAAAAATTATTCTCTTTTTATTCCAGCTCTTACCTAAATTAAAAATTAACTTTCCACAGATAGAGGCAAAGTTCAGTATACTGTATTATTAGAAAATATTTATTTCCAAGGATTGAGAACATTTTACAAATGTCTTTCTCCTTTTTCTGTTGCCATAACAGAATAATTTAGGCTGGGTAACTTACAGAGAGAGTTTATTTGCCTCATGATTCCGATGGCTGGAGGATCTAAACAATATGGCCCTGGAGTCCTGGCAAGAGTCCCTTGGCTGTGTCACATCATAGTGGAGAAACAAGGGAAACTGGCTGCATGCAGAAGGGCCAAATGTGTGAGATGACCTCACTTTATAGCACCCACTCTTAAGAGAATTAATTGACTCTGAGAAATGAGCATTAAACCAGTGTATCTCTAAAACTCATCACCTAATTACTTTCCAGTAGGCCTTACCTCTTTAAGGTTCCACCACCTCAACCACGCCACATGGAGGACCAAGCTTCCGACACATGAATCTTTGTGGGATACACTCAAGCCATATCCATACTGCAGCAATCAGTAGTAATAACTCATAGCAGCCATTTTCTTGTTATAGTCTTCATTAAAGTGGTATTGTATTTTCAGTCTTTCCTCTGCCCGAGGTGTGAATTTCTTAAGGGCAGGAAAATATTTTACTTACCATTGTATTTCTAGTACCTAGCACACTGCAAACACTCAATACATGCTATAGAAATGCAAGGGCAGTGTCCCTGAGGAAAAGTTGACTCTATAAAGGGTGTAAAAATACTGTGAATGCAACAAGGTAGAGAAAATAATATAAAACAATAATCTCCTTTCCCTAGAGTTACTAAAAGCAGTTAGAAGTAATGCTTTCACAGCTTGGAGCACAGAGGGCATATTTGAGAGTTCATAAATGGTCAAAATTTGCCTTTTAAGAAGATCTGGCCATGGCAAGCAGGAGGTCATGAGTTTGACTCCCAGTACCAGGAAAACAAAACAAAACAAAACAAAACGAAAAAGAACTGGCCTGCGCAGTTGTAGGTAAGGCTTTGTTGTATTGACTGGAACATATAAGCCAGAAGCCCCTACCAACCCTATCTCTGCTCTCCCTCCGGGCCTGCCATACTCATCTTCTCATCCAAATGCCCATTCCATAGATATTGAGAGAGTTTTCATGAAGGTGTGCTAAATTACTGGCTTGCTTAGGGCTCTGGTATCTTGATGTGTCTTGCCTCAAGCATAGAGAACCTGTGTTCGGTCACTATTTTAAGCCTAGATTGCTCAAATAATATTGACATAATAATAATAATGACAAAAACCCTTGTTCCTCGTTTACTAACAGCATTCAGAAAGAGCTCAAAGCTGACATCTTTTTATGTTGCAATAGGGCAGTCATGGGGTGTATGCTGCCTTGTCCTGTCGCCAGTGGGAGTATAGCAGCAACTAGAATGTTCCAACGGTAAACAAATGAACTTCCTCTAATTGTCCCAGGACTTTTTCATATTAATAATGAAATAATGGGGAAGTGGTTTCTAGTTTAGTCGGGGAGGAAGGAAATGACATTGAATTATTTGATTTTTTTATTTCTTAAAACATACAGTCCTGCCGGTCAGTCAAAAGAAAGGATACTGTTATTTAGTAGAAATGTAGTCAGCTAGGGCAACTTGGGTCATACTCCTGGGGAAAAAAGACCTAAATTCAGCTGTTTCTCCAGGTTCAAAAAGTGAAATTATCCTGGTACCGGAGAAAAACCAAAAAAAAAAAAAAAAGTGAAATTAATGTGAATCTTCTTAGATTTAGAGATCAGAACCTCATTCTATGCTAAAAAGATTTTTTTATCCAAAGCTGAGACTTTCTTTGTTCTCTCCAACTTAAAAATAAGCCTGAAACAAAACATGGTTTCTGTTCTTTAGCATACTCTGAGGATTCATATATATATGCGCTTGAGATTTGTTTTAGAAGAAATGGTATTGAATTTAGGGATGCCTTCTAGTTCTGAAATTCCATGTTCTCATTCAATACGTTATCGCTCAAGGAAAAAATATAGAAAAATGAACAAAGAATGCAATGTGAAAGACCCAGTTAAACATTATTTTCCTTATCCAAAGTTATTTGTCAATTCTAAGATATTAAAATATTCCACTAAGGAGACCTGTTGATGAACAGACTAGGACTAGAAGAATATAGAATGTCACGTCTGAAGGTTCCAGGGCCTCAGCTCAGATGGCTCGTTTCCAGTGTTCAGATGGAGCACTGTACTTCCGTGGTGTTGTTGATCTCACAAGTTCTGGAAACGCTGGGCTCAGGAGTTCAAGTGTCCGCAGCCATTTGCTACAAAATAGCTAGAAATCAATGAAACACCCTTTAGGTCCTGTGTGCTAATGTGGGTGACTTCACCTCTTTGGCAAGTTGAATTGGGAATGGGTAGAATATTGGTAATAAACAGAAGACACTGCCTGGGTGGGTAGATTTCAAATTACAAAAACTTGCTTTGGAAATATGCTTGTGAGCTTCTAAATAGCAAGAAAACTGCTATTACTGGCAAGTCACGAGACTAAGATAGTTTAAGGAAATTGCCTTCTTTCTGAGTCAGTATTAAATATCAGATATTTTCAAAGGGAAGGGGTCATTTCGATTGAGAAACATAATGTGGAAAAGAGTCTGCATAATTCCTTATGCACTTTGTTCCCATTCCTTGAAGTAGATGATTTTTGCCCTCATTTTAATGCTGTCTTTATGGAATGAAGGAATCTTCAAATTGGTTTTTAAACTCTATTAAGCCCTCATGTATGATATAACCCAACCACATTATTCTGGTTTTCTTGGCTTTCAGGAACTGCTTTGCAGCCATTATGTCATAATTGAACTGAACATTGTTGCTCAATCTGAATTTGGAATATGCTGCTGTGGCTCTGGGCCAGTTGCTGAGTCAGTGTCTTTGGGGTTGAGCATGGAAGGGTAGTGCTGCAGTGTGTGCGGACCCCATCATATTAATCAGAGTCCCCTTTGGACTCTTTGGTACTAGAGGGAGAGTGTCGTGAAAATGCGTTGCTGTTCATGATTAGCATCATCGTTT